TCAATGATAAGATGTTCAAGAGGAAGCTCGACAGCGTCCTGCGAACAATGTGGTATGCAGATCTATCATGAATGAGATCTTCGAGTCTGTGGTGATAAGGCTCATACGGGAAATTACCCTCTGCCTCTAATTGAAGAACACTGAACATTGAACATAGAACATTATGTTTTATCTTGTTTCGTATTATAAGTGAGAGAAAAATCAGGGCCCAATAGACGTTGGTTTTTCTAGCCAGAAATCATCTTTGTTGTTTCTATTCAACATAGTACAAATGGATCAAAGGAAGTCAGCGTTCATTAAACGAATCTACAGCTTCATTATTTTACCAGATGGAATACTTGGGAGGATCCAAATATGTATCGACCGTTTTAAAATTATCTCTGAAATGTGATAATAGACAGATAGTATCAGCGAGTAATTTTAGACAACTGAAGCGTCCTGGAATCCCATAAACCAATGGTAGTATTTGTTTAAACGGAGTACGATACCAAGCGGGTTTAGTTGTCCATGAAGCGTGAGACCTGACAGTCTATACCGGTAAATATGTCAGTGTTGAACGGTTGTACCAATAGAAGTGATCCTACTTTGGTTGGTGATTAACTAATCTCCTTCTCGGTTGCGCGATTAGTTTAGTAATTTCGGAGTTTTCGTTACAATTAATGAACCAAACACCACAAGGTTTTCTTCATCCTTGCACCAGGAATAACGTCAGACTATGAGTAGAATACACCTATCTTTGCTAAATATTGCTTATGTTGGTCATTGTTGCAGGTGGACAACACTGCGTTCAATTTGCCCAAACAAAATGAAGTTATTCGAGCACGAAAGGAATATCGCATCGCCGTTGGATTGGACTCCACGGCTGCGGCAGCCAATCGAGCCCCAACCACCGGCAAACTGATTGTCACATGCATTCAAGCTGAAACAAACACACGTGTTCCCGGATCACGACGCTTGGGGCCGAACGAAACAGATTTAGCCGGACAAGCTTTGGTACGAGGCCGTAAACCGGGTCTCGGTGAGGGGATGCAGTGGGTCTATTATCTGCGAGGTGTCTCCTCTTGAACTAAGCAATGCACAAGTTTGCATGGTTCCTTCCCACATTCACAGTGATTGTTCTCCATCTGGTACCTAATGCAACCAGTATCACAGAAGACTAATCGATTCTATCTAGGTTTTGTATTTCAAATGAAACTGCATGAAAATAAACATAAACTCGAAGAATCATGGATAATCGGAAAGGCTATTCTTATTCATAATCAGATCTCTTAAATGGTATTGTTTGGCGCTGGAAGAATTAGGGGTGGGATTGATTTGTGGAATGGTACTACAAATCCTCGTTGAATGGATATTCCGGATGTTTCTGAAAACTGTAACATGGCAAGAGGATAAACAGGTTTCTACGTTAAACTTACAGATCAGGCTTCACCGAACGAATGTTTCTGGATACGGTAAGTAAGGCTGACAAATCCTCCGACTGGAGGTCAAAATCAAATATCTGCAGGGAAAAACGAGCAACAAATGTGGGAATTGAGTACAACACCGAAGGCCTATTTCCGTTACACATTACTAACAAGTGGTTCGCAAGAAATTTTTCTGTGCATTAAACATTGCACATATAGCAGGAACTGGAACTAAACGTGAATCCCACTTTGACAACTGCTCATGATCAAGTTATAACGCCACATGTCATATGTATATGACGATTCTTTTTCTCTATCATGAAAGACCTCTGCTATGGAAACATTCTACAGGCCAAAAGAAGCATGAGCTTTTCAGTATATTTCCAAAATTAAAATTTTCGCATCCCCATGCACTGATTTTCTGCTCAATGCATTGTTTAAGTTTGAAGTCTGAAAGATGGCGTTTAGTAATCAGGGGAAAAGTTATATTTAGCATAAACAATACAATCATAAACAATTACAGGAACGAAAAACATTGAGCACAGGCAGCTCTTTGGGAATTTGATACAGTTTTGACGATCTTTCGGGTTTCTGGGAAAAAAACATTAGACTATTGGTATTACAAAGACAATGAACTCACTCACTTCATAAAGGGTAAATACTTCTACCGGAGGTGTTTACTTCATCATCATCGTTCAGCGACATACAGCGAAGCCTACCTCACTAATCCCTGGCAAGCTCAAAATGCACACAAACTAGGTGAGAAAGTACAACATAGATAGATTGTGCACAACCTAACTGTGCACACCTTCTCACGCATTCTGGCCTAACGATAAATGGCAACGAGAACGCCGCTGTTGTCGGTCAGCATATTCTTCAGTGTCTCCAACCAACCAGCTGCATAATCGNTCTAACCTACCTCGTGGGTCGTTTTTCACGTCATCTGTTGACCTTCCCGCGAGTCCCTACATTCTGGAGTGTAACTGCAAATAAGGTGCGGTGCGGTAGACGATAGCTGGGCATGCACAATACACATCCTAACCAGTGAAGCCTAATCATCTAAATTCTATGAGACAACGAATTTTCCACGGGAATCATTACCACGCGCGCTCCAACCCGCGCCAAACTACGTGAGCACCAAAGGTCAAAGACTTCTGCACGACGAATATTTTTAACGTTCAAATTTAGGGTCTCACAATCATAAAGCAGAACTAACCGCACAGTGGCAGAGTATACGCTACCTTTCAGTCTCAAGGAAATATCACGTCGGCACCAAAGGTGTTTCGGTTCTGTGTACGCTGCTTGTGCCTTGGGAATACGGGCGGGAACCTCCTCGGCTACGCTACCGTCATTTGTTACGCAACTACCTAAGTTGGATTAACACTCCACCATAGCTAATTCTT